CAGTGCGCTTGAATCGTGTATGGGGGTTCCATATCAGTCGTTTGTCTAGGAGGAGTTCGAGATATCGTGCATGATTCGTTACAGGGATTGGAACGTTGTTGAGGTACACTGGTGGGAGCGTTTTCTTTTTTCAGGGTGAATGTTATGTATGTTGATTTAGTTTCGTTAACCTCGATTTTCCACTTCGGAGCCGAGATTCAACGATATGCAAATGATTTTGGAGATTACGGGAATCTGTGAAGGGAACTTTATCAGAAGAAAGGATAGCGGTACCATCGGCAAAGGTGAGGGTAATAGTATTCGGTTGTGTAGGTAGGTCAGAGGTATAAATTGAGTAGAGTAGAGGAGCGAGGACGCTGCTATGAGGGATACCTCCTGGAATAGGATGGGTAGTAGATAACGAGGTTTTGTGGGATAATAGGAAGTAACGATCGTTAAGGTATGATTATAGGATAAGATAATAAGGTTGCTGGTAGGATGCTTTTGAGCTTTCACAATAGTCCAGAGTGCCATACCCAGTCAAAGAATACACCACGACAATACTGTTTTAGCTCAAGAGAGAAGGAAATAACGTCTACTATGCGATATGCTTGTTGGACAGTCGAGGGGCAACTCCGAAATCCGAATTAGTGATGAGGAATTGTGTTAGTTGGAATTTCTTGGATATAGGAGCATTTCCAGTATTTTGCCACTAATGAGCAAAAGGCTGATAGGTCGGTAGGAGTTAGGAAGGTGATTAGGTTTTTTTGGTTTTGGGATCATCCTGATTGAAGAAAATTTTCAAAGAATAGGGAAATACAAATCCAAGTTAAGGTGTTATGTTGTTTCTGAATTCGTTTTTATCCGATCATATGGATAAATCTGCAAGTTTATAATTCTCCATTTCTATTTTATTTATTTTGACACTTTGTTAAAGTAACATGCTTGTGATATAAATTGCGGACAAATGTTGTTTGTGAAGAAAAAATTTACGTCGGAAAAAATTCGCCGCTCACAAATTTGTTCATTGGTGACTCCAGTTGCATTTTCCGATTCTACTGTCAATATTGACGGTCGACAGAGGCTGTCTTTCAGAAGGGAGTCCCACGCGTTTTATTATTTATAACGCTTTTTTGGTATCGATGATTTCTTTGGGTCGGAAAGGGGTTCGACTCGTTGACTGGTATAATGCGTCTATTGTATGTAAACCTTTAAATCCAAATAGAAAATATTCAAACTAAGAAAACGATATAAATAACATAAGAACAATCTACAAACAAATCATCGATTAGATTTGTTTTGAATTTATTCATTTAAATTGTTTTGTTCAACAAATGTACGTTCAGGGCAAACTAGTTATTGCCATATTTATATTTTTAACTTTCAATGTCCTGTGGGACCAAATGCTTACGTGCAAAATGGAAATGCACTCCTGGGAGTCTAGAGTTTACTAGATTGCAACTTGACCAAATAAATACGTGCGACGGTAGTCCCTAGGGGCAACTGGCTTAATAGATATGTAAGATATTGACCGACAATGAGACAAATTTCCTCACATAATAAATTGCATTTACTCCTTTCATGAAAGAGAATATTTGTATTTTATTAAATTAAAACCTTGTTCAGCTATTTTAGTATTTTATTTATGTACAAAGAGTTTAAATTATCGAAATACAAATATCATAAAACGGACCGCGGTGGTCGAGTGGTTAGAGCGGACGATTCTTATTTGGTATGCTAGCGGTTGTGGGTTCGAATCCCGGCAGAGCCCATGGGTTTTTAATGGATCATAGTGTGAAAACTGTATTAAAGTGGTATGACCCCTTGTCCGCAACACCCAACGTTAAGCTCTACTGTATGACAGAAATTACTTTAAGTTACTTTTACAAATATCATAAGGACTCAGCAATAACACAGAAAGAAGAAAGAACAGAATAAATGTGTAGAGATTAGTGACCGTTAATTGATAGTTATTCAGATATCGTGAGATGCGGTCGGGACCGCATCTCACGATATCTGAATAACGAACAGAATAAAGTTATTCTTTCAAGTTTTTTAGGCAATTTTATTAGGTTTTATTAAAAAATAAATAAATGGGCAATACGTGTACTGTTGCTGTGCACGACCCTGTTTTATGGTTGCATGGCTTATACCTCTGCCCAAAAAACGCGCCTGTAGAAGCTTGATAGGCTCTCCTATCAGGATCTTCGAACCATCTCTGGTGCCCTAGAAGAAGCCCTTTGGCCAGCCTGTGCAGTCATAACAAGAGGATTTTTGGAGAGTAAAGATAATGTGGGTGGATGAAGTTTCGTTATTTTTTTCTCCATTTGCGATACAGACTGGATAAGGTTTATTAAATGATGTTGGGTATTACGACTAGATAGAGAAGGTCGGGATTAGGTGCAGGATGAAGTGACGTCAGTAAAAGAGCATTGGGAGGACAAGAGGGAAAGAGGGAAAAAGAAGCAGTGTATATTGTGAATAGAACGGTCCTAGTATGCTGCTCTGCGGGATACCCGCCTTAATGGGAATACAAGAGAAAATGGTCCCTAAGCAATACTGTTCCGTTAGATAGGATTTTATGTTAAAGGTACGTAAAAGGAAGGAAGCCGTTGAGTTTCAACAGCAAACCGCAGCTTGAACTACATCAAGCAATAATTTTTCTGCTGAAGAGAGGATGATATTGTCTACAACGGAGAATGAACAGCGATGAATCTGTACGGTGCACTGAAGCGAGCAGAAACCAAATCCTTGGTGAGGTAGGACATTCGCAGTTTGAGCAGAAATGTAAAACACATCAAATATAAAAAAGCTTGAAGAGAAAAAATAAAATAACTTTTAAATATAAAATTATTTAGAAGTTTTATATGTGATGATAGGCAGTGAGAGATGAGCCTTAGCCATCATTTTAATGAGCCTACTAAAACACCATGGATTTGCCTGTGACAAATTCGCACTTGATGATGTTTTATTTTAATGAAATGGCAATTAACCCGTGAAAGACTTTAACCGACAAAGGAAAAATTGAATGGCGCGAGTCGGTTTATATTCTGGACGAACAATTACGCCAGGCTTCATCGAAAATCCGGGTTTCGCCGACCATGTATCAACCCTTTTCCCCTCTACGAAATCGAGTATAAAAAAAAACATTTCCATTGTAATCACTACCCTATTGTTTCCATTCCGACACTCGTTTTTTCCCGTTTGATCTTATCGAAATCCGACGAAGTTTCAATCATGTTTGGTCGCAAATAATGTGAATAAATGAGAGTTCATGATTTTTGTCCGAGGACTGAACTCGGACCTATTACTATACACCTGGACTTATTAAGGACTTATTTGTGAAAAGATCTGTGAACTTTTCAAAATCAATGTTTGTCAAGAGCGGTGGTGTTTCTAAGACAATGTGATGTTTTCATCAGTAAATAACCTGATACATTAAAACAGTTTCCGATCTCGCATACGGACGAAGGTTTATCAATCGCATTTAAAAATTGACGAAGCACCTTAACAAGACGAAAAATTCTCCGAGCAGAATCGTAAAACATTGAGGAAATGGCTGTAATTAAGCCTAAATAAATATCCTTAGTGTAACGATTGACGTAAAAATAATTGCTCTTCTTGAAGTAATTATCCAACATCCATCTCTTATTTCGTATTTCTAGGGCTAAGAGACTAAAATTTTAAAATATGGAATAAAGTTTTCTTTCGATAGCAAATTACCAATAACAAAAAGGCTTACTCAAAATGAACCAATGAATTCCAGAGAGCGAACTTGCTATTTAAAACCGACTGCTGGGGGGTAAACATACCGTGGGCCCCAAAGCTAAAATATCTTAGGTCGAAATAAAATTAATTACTATTCTAAATAATTAATTGATGATAGATTAATAAATTAATAATAAATAAAAAATAATAATAATTCAATTAATTAACTAATTAACTTATACGCCAAAAATTATTTAGGTAAATATTTAAAGTAGATGGTAAATCAAATATACAAGGAGTCTGGCGAAAGTGTCAAAAAATTTCGGGAGGTGTTTCTGCTCACCATATGCATCGGATAACTTCCTATAAACACTGTTCGAATCTCAACGGTAAAGAAGTAATTTCAGTTTTTTTCTCTTTTTTTTCGACTTAGGTCCACTAAATTGTTTATAACCTTCAGAATTAGTGACTGTAGGAAAATCTGGTTTGTGCCATCTGAAAGAACGGAAAATTTTCTCTAATTTTCTCTATTTACATTGCAGAATTGATGAAAAAGTTCTGCATGAAAAATTCAGATATAACAAAAATATTGTAATTTGAAATTTGGATTGGTTACTGTTCAGAACTGCAAACTGATTGTCTTTCCTCGATCTTCGAGTGAAAGAACCAGTTTCCCTCAGCCTCTGATGAAGTGATTGGAAGGTGCGATTTGCTGGAATGTCTCGTTGTGGAAAACGAGCTTGGTATTTTCTCCTTGCAGCAGTAGCATTTACAAAGATTGTTTACATTTAACAAATACATGTAGGATGTGGAAAAAATGTTTGTAAATCCCAGGCCCTGAAGATGATCTCAATAAAGATCGAAACGTTGGCACGATAAAGAAAATGTTTTTCTGAAACCTACATCTCACCAGACCGCATCTCACGATTTCTGAATTATTATCAATTAACGGTCACTAATCACCACACAAATATAAATTAAATTATTTTGCAACTCTTAATGAAATTTTGTTTGATACAATAATCAGAAAATAATCAGAATATATTTGCATAAAATGTTTATTTAAAATGTGGATTTAATCACTTAATATTCATGCAGCCAGGAGGAGGAAAACATTTTATTTGATAGGTCTTTATCTAGAAATATTTTAAATTGAAATTTATTTATTTTTGTAGTATAAATAAAAAATTTTTGTGATTTTTTCATTGAACACATTGAATTAAACATTTCTGCTGATACCCCGATTTTAATCTATTACACTGTTTATATTATGTTTTAAATATATATATTTTATTGATTTATTTATATTGTAGGTCGGCTGGCTGAGAGCCGAGGACCAGACGGTTTTAACCCTGGATAAAAGGGTTGTGACACACAACTCAAGAATATCTGTGAGCCAGGATACGGATCGGGACACGTGGAGACTTCACATACGGCAAATTAAATATTCGGATCGGGGATGTTACATGTGTCAAATCAATACGACAAACATGAAAAAACAAGTCGGCTGCGTCGATGTTTTAGGTGGGTAAATATTTTATTGTATCAATATTTAACATTTATAAATGCGCACGAACAGACGCCATGATGTTCGAGACAATCTAACAAAAATTATAAATATATTTCCAAATAGAATATTTATTGACAGAAACTTTTACATAAGCGATGATAAACTGTAAAAATAGATTGTTTTAATAAATAATTATGCACATACTCATTTCTATTAATACACTCAAAAACAAAAAATCGCACACTTATTTCTAACTCTATCTATTTTTATTGTTAATTATATCACATTTATTTTAATGTGTACCTAATTAAACTATATCAGAAATTAATTAGTTCTATTAAATTTGGTAATTATGATGTTTTGAAAGAAAGTTCATTAAACATCGGAAAATCAATCAAAAGAAAATCATTCGGTGGCAACTCGACCTATGGGCAGTCAAGAATTATCAAGCATTAATACAAAGTTGTCCCCAATAAAGAGCGAATGGGACCACAGAAAACACGTGCTTCCAGAAAAATTTCCTCAATATACCTTAATGCAATCAAAGATTCATTCTGTATGATAATCAATTCGGTATGGCATGAATACCATAACTGACTGTCTTATGACTGTCTCGGGACATCGAGATACTAGGCTATTCTCACGAATCCTTCTGATGACTGCTTTAAAGGTCACCCTTACATTACGGACCATTCGAGTTGACTACCTATCAAGGAAGCCGTTAAATGACGTTTTCGAAGTGCAGTGGAGCAATAAAACGATCGTCTCACCTGTCACAAACGCTACTTTCTCTTCGATCGAGACTTCCAGTCCCACTAAGCCACTGTAGACAATTGTGGATGGTAGAGCGCAGCTCAACTAGGGCTTGGGCTATGTCAAACTTTGGCCAAATCATCTGCTTGGCCGAGATGCAAATGAAATCAATTTAAAAAACCAATTAACCCACTCGACAAGTTGACTCTGGAAAAAGGAAATTGAACTGATTTTCTTTATTGTTAATCTAAAGAGTGTAAAAGGTAAACAACATATCATTAATGTGTAACTTACGTTTTAAGTCAACTATTATCTATCTTAAAAGCAAAAGCAACACACAAAAATGTGTTCGGTTTTTTTGTCATTGAGAGTGATATTTGTTAGCTTAGGGAAATGTTTTCTTCATATCGTTTTATTGCCCTTTTTCCTTAATCTATGATTTATTATTTTATTTTATTTTACTTGGCCAATTTTAAGGTTAATTATGCAATAAAAATGTTACAAAGACAAAAACAGATTTGTTTAATTTGTTAATTTTTACCACCAATAACATTTTTTAAATAGTTTTGGGCAAATATTTCAAAAACTATCCATATTATTCAAACAAATGATAAACGAAACATATAGTGAATTGTACTTTCTTAATAAAGGAAAGAACTTGCACAATTCAATAAGAAAATTAACAAAATTGGTATAAAAAAGAAGAAATAACATGGAAGAGGCGTTAAGTAAGAGAAAAACAGAAAAAGTGAGGAAGGAAGTGTTTATCACTGAAAGGGATTATCACTACTACCGGATTAAGAGTACGAAACTGTTTACAAAAACACGAAACTATATACAAAACTAAAATTTACCACTGACGTAAACATATTTCTTTAAATAAATTTAATTCCAGCCTTGATAAATGTTGGGGCAAACATTGACTAGACAAGACGTAACACATCCTAGTGGTAAACCGACTGTGGACAATAAATTTACAAGAAATACATTTACGTCCCAATAAAATCGTTAAACAATAGATTTGTGGGCGATTATTCTTCATTTTGTAGCTCGGAGCTGTCTAAATAAATTGAAACCTAACTGTCTATGTAAAAATTGCTTTATCGCCATGAAAATAATCTTATTTTAACCATGCTGACGAACCTTAAACATCGTTCATCGTACGTTAATGCTTAAAAGGATTAGTGATATCGTGGAAAATAGTTCGGCTGAATTATTACTAATAAAAATATTTAAAATATATAAAATATAAACATGCGTTAGTTACTTTCCTACATTAAAATCTAAATAAATAAAAACGTTGGTAAAGTTTGTGAAATCAAAGCAAAAAACGCAGTACCTCAGACGGTCAATTCCAGGTGGATATTTCTCAGTTGTATACCGAGTTTTATCGCAACATATTTTGTTGTCAGTAAACATTTGAGTCAAGGCGATATCTTCTTATGATGTAAAGTGACAATGTTGTTTGATGTTGGTAATATTCAAAAGGTTTATTTTCTACACGATCTGTGTCCAGCACATAATTACCAACCATCATAAAACTAGGTGAGGAACGTGTTTGGTGACAAAGTTATTGATATTCATGGGGCAACATCGTGTGGCCTCCTTGTTCACCAGATCTCAAGCATCTCGCCTTCTCTCACTGTGGCTATATCAAATCTAAAATTTACATCAGTCCTACTGTATTTCATAACATAATCCGATTGCAGCCAGTACACCTCAGATTTCTATGACAGATTGTTCTACTGAGTTGTGATTAAAGGGGATGACTACAAAAACCACATTTGACTTCAGTTTCATTCGTTATAATAGCATTAAGCATTTTGTTTTACGAAAGTTTATAACGTTTCCATTGCAAAATTGAAATGAAATTAGTTCAGTGTTTACCAAGAAAGCCGTTTTAATTAGAAATGCTTCAGAGTGAGATTTGGCGTCAAGTTCTTCAAAGTCCGACAGATACAACCCGGCCTCGCACAAGGGAACATTCTAGGTCACATCCTTTGTATCCTTTATACTGCTGGCCTACCTTTACATCTTAATAGCATTTCACCACCCACGGATACCGCAATTTTGTGCTTTTATTCGAATCTTATCCAAGCTATCTCAAACATCCACGAAAACCTTGACCTAATCAAAGGGTGGTGCAAAAAGTTCAGTACAAGATTGAAGTATGAAGAAAAACGTACCCAACGTACATTTACATTGAGAAAATAGACTTTCCCTACATTGTACATCAACAACAAAAAATTTTCCGCGTGAAAAATTTTCTTTGATAACATTTGTAACATGTAGTAGCACGTTTATAGTCTATTTAAGCAAGTAATATCTTATTTTTCCTATGGTGAGTGGAAAAATGCATCACCGTATATAAAGTATAATCCCGATCCTTCTTTAAATTACTATAAGATTACAAAGGATGGCGGAAACGTTTGAGGTAGCCTTTATATATTAGAGAAAAGCGTTAGTCGATTGGCCTTAGTAGACTCGTTTTATGACTTATATGACTATGTATACAACCAAGTCCCCAAACTCTTAAACGGTCCCAGCATTATTTATGTGAAACAGCTTTCTTCGAATCACGTTAATTTCATTGACATTGACAATGTCAAATTTGGATTATGGATAGGAAAATATGTAGCGAGGAAGCCACACAAAGATAAATCTGTTAATTATACATAAAACGTTAGCGTTCAATCCGGGTTAGAAGCGGGTAGATTTATGTAGTTGGCGACTTGGTCGGACTTAGTTACAGGTTACCAACTAATCTCGTTAATTAGTTTGCCTTGTGTTCATATGGCACCTGGAGCATTTCCTGCCTTCTCGCCACTCCCAATAGCACACGTCTGCTCGCCAAACTAATACACAAAGCATTCACGAACCATTTAGAATCCCATAAAATCATTTTTTTTTTCCTTAAAAATCGCAATATGTGACGTAGACGATTATTTGGTGATTCACATGTTGACCCTGTTATTATCAATTCAAAATTAAGTTTAAAATCATCTTAAAACAAAGTCTTATGGAGCTTACAAGCCGATTTTATCAACAAAAAAAATCTCTCCACTAATAGTCTCAACATCTCCCTGTTTTTGTCTCCGGGCTTGTTCTCGGTCCACAAAAGTGCAATACCCCAAATTTTTCCATAGAATATCAAGAAATTATTATTGAAATGCAATGATTTGGGAGACACTTTTACACCTCCATTATTGTTAGAGCATCACCTCAACGAAGAAGTTTCTACGGCTAAACTGGGTCTGAAAAGAATTTAAACAGTGTTTATCTCACAAAAAGGAATACTTTTGCTATCAGTTTATAATAGTGTGTTGCGATACGTAATTTGTTATGCAGCTCAAATTTGGGGCTATAATCGCTATGAGGTTTTGGAAATATTTCAAAGGTATTTTTATAAAAATTATTTTCACTGCCTACAAACACCCTCTAGTAAGGTGATTAATAGTAAATCCTCTGTCTACCCAATTTTCTCATACATTGTACATTACTCCTGCATTTTAAATTGTGTTTGAGGGTGCTGTCACTTCCAAGACAAAGGGCTCACTGATTCGATTCCTGAGGTGCCTTGCCTCGCAATTACTCTTGTGAGTTTGATTTTTCAATAGACGGTAAGCCTCAGTGGAAGACTCGGATTGCCTTACTTTTACAAAAGATAGGAGTAGTTCATGGGAAGAAGTCTGAGCACTGCTGTCGAAAGTACGTTTGTACTATGCGAGTGACATGTGGACGGGCATTATCGTGCATTAGAATAGGATTGTCTCTGATTTCATTGAGGATAGGCATCGCATGATGTTCCAAAATGTCATTCAAATAGCCCGTGGTCGTCAAAGTCCCTCAACAAATAACGACGAACTCTGTACGACTATCCATTGAAATTCCCGCCCACAACATCAGTGAGCGCGTGTCGCAGTATTTCGTAGGGAACTAGGATGGCAATATTCGCACACCTGATAGAAAGTCCATCAATAATAAGTGCCACACCACGCGCAACAACCTCAGCACTAAGTGGCATTTTTAAGTTTAAAAATTGAAATTAACAACAAAGATGAAACTAAACAGTTTATTGATTCAGAATTCAAATGATACTGAATAAACATTTTAAATTCCGTAAAAGTAAACATAGAAAAATCCTTTATACTCGATTTCGATTAAGGATTAAGTGTGTTTACCAATTTAAAACATACCATAAACAAATATATATTAATAAAAACAGTGAGATAAATTAAGGGCAGAATTTCCTTTTATCTAG